TGTTAAAGAACCCAATGGTATGTAGCTTAACACAACTCATATGATTTGTTTAATCCAAAGATCGAACAATGAATTTATAGTAGATAAGAGGTCGGAGGGTTTCGTGTATTAGAAGTTGAGCCCGAAATGAGTGTTACAAAGAAGACCGCTATAGATAGTCCGGACAGATCTCGGTCTACCTGATTATTATAGACTAGAAAGAGGGTAGTAGACCGGACAGATGTCGGACTACTTGTTTGCTGCGAGCTAGTATGTAATGTGAGTGTTTGCGGTGTTTCCCAGTTGGCGGTGGCCTTCAGGTGAGTTCTCTGTCGGAGTTAGAGACCTGAACGGTTATGCTCTGGGTCCCTTGTACTTTTCCTCAGAGAATGGAAGATCCCTCGTCACATCAGCTTATTCCCCTATTTRTAGTACAAAGTTTTGAGGGTACATACTAGGTTTTATTAACCGTAGTTACCGAATCTGACTCAGGCTTAACCAGACCGCGGTTACTGTTTGAGTTGGACTTCCATTATTCTCGGACCGCTGACCGCCGGGTCGTAGACCGTTTGGGCTACAGGCTCAGGCCCAACAGTAGCCCCCCCAGTCAGCGAAATGGGATGGGCCGAGTTTCGCTGTTTCCGCGTTCCTAGGCCCGAGAAGCGAAACCCAATTCGAAGTCATCTTTTGATTGGCCATTCTACCGCCCTAATGCTTCTCCCGAGGTACGACAGTTCGTCTTCCGGTCTGAGTCTATAAAAGGAGGAGCCTTCTGCTTCACTTCTCCTCACTCGCTTCTTCTCGCTTCTCTCTCTAAAGGTAGTTTTTTCTTTCTCATTTTCTCTCTAGTTTTTTTTGTTAGATATTTCTGCTGTCCTACCATCTCCAAGTCCGCCGTCTTAGTCTGAGTTCTTTGATCGTTCTTAACATAGCTCTCCGTCCCGATCTGGTTTTTGGTTGATGTCCTCGCCGATCCAGATTGATTCCTCCGGCGAAAACTCTCCTAGCCAGAATTTGGTCAAGTCGTCTTCTGCATCCTTATCTGACAGCCTATCTTTAATGGAAGAGGAGGAATTCGCTTGTGTCCACAGAGCCCGCATATCGAGGGAAGGGGATGCAGAATCCAGCTCGGTCGAGGGTCCGCAGCCTGCTGCGACCGGGACTTCGAGGACTCCTAAAGTCATCGGGTCCTTTCCTCCTAGAGCCCGATATAGCCGCGGATGGTCCGAGCGTGGCCCCGCGTTGACGGGGGTCGAGGAAGATCCCGACTCCTTTGGTTTGTCGATCTCGACCCCAGAAAGGAGGGACCCACCAGGACCCGGTCTAGTTCGCAACATTGCACTGGTCCGCTTTGACGACCAGAGGACCTCGACGACCCTTGAGTCATTGGAAGCGATGCGGTCTACTAGAAACCTCTCCAAGACTGTGAAGTTTCTGGTGCCTGGAAAGAATGACCGCCCCTGGACGCCTCCAGAGGGGTATATGTATTTATACGAGTCATTCTTTACAGCGGACGGGCTGTGGTTTCTGCTGCCCAGGATTTTGATCGAATACTGTGCCCGGCGGGGCATAGCTATCTCCCAGCTTACCTGGGCCTCGATCCGGAACTTCGCGGTCTGCCTCGCTCTCGCTGCAGAACATGAAATGGAATGTGATTGCGACGCCTACGAGGCGATGACCCAACTGAAATGGCGGAAGCCTTCAAGCCGCTTCTATGTATCGGCGCGCCCCGGTAACTCGTGGCTGAATCCGGATTCCATCAGTGATAAGTGAGACAACTGGGAGTTCAAGTATTTTTTGTGAAGATCGATGCGGCTTCCGTCAAGAATCCGAAATGGCTAATCCGGGCTGGCTGGAACATTATAATCAGTAGGCTTAATATCTCTGTGTTTTCGAGTTTATCTGTTTTGGCCGACACCTAATCTTGTTCTTTGTTTGCAGATTACCCAGTTCCGCCGATCTTGACCGTTCCAAAGCCCGGTGAGAGGACCCTGATTCCTCTTCTGAAGAAGCTGCAGCTTCAACTTTGGCCGAAATTTCTCGAGCAGCGGATTCAAAAGTGTAAAGAGCGGATTACGACAGGTTGGAGCCGCCTTTGTTGAAGCCGCTGTCACTGGTTCTAAAGAAGAACCCGCGACCTATGATATTTCTTTTGCCTTTAAGTCGAAAGATCATATCGCAAGTATCCCGTAGGCATACACCGAGCTGTGCTCCAAAATCCCCTATAGCACGGAGCACGACTTTCCTGAGCCCGATGACCTGATAGAGGCGGAGGCGTATTAGCTGTTCACGGGAAGCGTGATGGAGGTATCGTCCTCTTTATCCCAATACTGTGTTTTAAAATCCTTGCTTTTATCTTGTCTTTGCTCATCGATCTTTTTATGACAGATCCTGATCATCGAAAAATACGAGCGTCGGTCTGGAGGGCTCTTGAAGAAGCTTGAGGAGTACCCAAGCGTGAAGAAAGAGACTAAGAAGGTTCCTGGTCTCGAGAAGAAGGTCATGACACAGATCACTTTGATGGATGATCTGTCTAAAAAGGCAGAGGAGGAGAGGCAGCGAGCGGAATTTGCCGAGGAAGAGCTCGAGAGGGTAAAGACCGAAAAAGAGTCTCTTCAATCTTTCCATAATCAGGAGACAGCTCTTCTGCGGTCTTCTCGAAGGCATGAGGTCGTTCAGATCATCGCGAGGTGCTAACAACGAGGAGGCGAACAGGCTTAATGCCCTGATGAACCAAGCGATGGCTATCAAGGATTACCTCGCTGGTTTTAAGAAGGGAGCAGCTCTGATGTTTCGGACGATCGGTTCAAAGAGCTCGATGAGAACTTTGAAAGGTTCGAGAAAGATTTCGATGCTCTGGACGTCGAAGAAGACACTGAGGGCGATTTCAAGATGACTCCTCCTCCTTGGATGTCTTTGAACCCTCCTCAGTGCGAGACCGCAGCCGCCTCCGTGAACCCTCCTCAGCCTGAGATCGTAGCCTCCTTCGACCAGAATGGGACCCTGATGAGTGTGGAAGATCAGAAGAGGGATCGACTTTTGCTCGTGGATGACCTGGGAGTGGAGGCTCAGGCTTAAGAAAATGAGACCGCTACTGTGGCGAGAGATTCGGCCACTGGCGAGGAGCTCGCTCCCCTGAACGGGCTTCCGGTCGTCCCTGCTCCTCAGCCTTAGTCTGTTTTTTTTTGCTTTGTAAAGACTTTCTTTTTGAATAATATTTCCCAGGCTTTGGTAGCTCAGATTTCGCTTTATCAATCTCGAACGGGTTTTATTCATGTCCATTTGTTTTTATGCTGCGATAGCGAATTTTGATTGAGTAGACCGTCGTACGTCTAAGTTAGCGGGGTCTGGCCGACTTACGTACTTAGGTGTATCTATGTCGTCTTGTTTGTCTGTGACTCTGAGGTCGGCTTATGACGAGACTCTTTACGTGGCTAAGTGTGTGAGAATGACTCGACTTAGGGTACTTAGACGCTTAGAATCAGTTGCGGGTCTGGCCCCGGCTTAGAGGTCGCTGGTGAAAGTTTTAAAGTTTCCGGACCAGCGATGTGGTTGATCGGACCACCTGTTCATGTGGAACGTAGTTTTGTCAAGTACTTGGCCAGAGTACTGACATGAGGTGTGAGCTCGGGGCTTATCCGGTCTGGAAGAACCGGTATATGAAATTTGTTGAAAATACTTGAAGATTTTAAGAAAACGAACCTTGCAA